TTTTTCCAAAAAAATACCAACCCCCCTCCCCAAACTGCAAATGAGCAAAAAAATAAAAAAGAAATTTGGAAAATTCGAAATCAAAGCTTGAAGAAGAGTTGGGCTTCGATTTTTTGAGGTAAATTCGACTCTTTTATGTGTAAATTAGCATTGGGTAGATCGATTACGGAACCAATTTCATGTTAAAAAAACCCTACAAATCGATTTGTAGGGCTTTTTATTTCGCAAAAATATGTTGGAACACCCAAGATGGGCGCCCAAGGCGTGTATGAACGCCCGTTCCGGGCGTTCGTACACGCCTTGGACGCCCATCTTGGGTGTTCAATTAAAAAAAAAAATTGCACTGAACGCCCAACTCAGGCGCCCAAATGCAGTTTGCACTTCCCAACGTGGGCGTGCATGAATGAGCGCCCATCTTCGGCGTTCAATTAAAAAAAAAAAAATTGGCACTGGACGCCCAACTCGGGCGCCCAAATGCAGCTTGCACGCCCAACTTGGGCGTGCATGAATGGGAGCCCAAGTTGGGCTTTTACGCGTTTTGGGGGGTTTTTGGAAGTTTGGGGTTTTAAAGAGATAAAGTGTTTTTTGTTATAAACCGCAAATAGCAATTTTCAAACCTTAAAAAACAAGTCCTTAAATAAAAAGTAAAGACGGCTATATTTTGTGAACGAGTCAAACTTTGCTGGAAAAAGCCCATAATGTGGAACTCGCTCCCGGGTTTAATGACCACATATTTCAAATTTGGGCCTTGATAAGCCCAAATGAGGCCCTCCAAATTTCCACAATCACATTTCTAGGTCTTGTTTGATGATAAAGATAAAATTATACTTGACTAAATAATTGGATTATTTTAAGTTTGATTAATATGATTCGGATAGAGTAGTTGCGTGAAGAAATCAGACGTTCGAGTTGTGTACAAGAACGAAACAAGATTTAAAGAGGGAGTCTTTTAATATTTTAATACGTCCTATTAATATACACTGTAAATTTGAATTAGTGAAATCTTATTTGCAAGTTTTCGATGATGTAAAGGTCACTTCTGGGAATTCGGGGGGCCCTAGGCGAGGTTTAAAGAACAATTAAAAACAGAGGCTCCTATCTGATGAACCATTTTTTTTTATTAATGGATGTTCGAAATTGAATGTAGTAAAAAAAAATTTATATTTTTTTCTAAAAATGAAGAAAATAAAGATTCTGGGGGTTCGGGGGCAGTGCCCACGAAATATTTTTTGAAATGTATGAATATAAAGTACCTAAAAATATGGACAAAAATTCAAAATTAACTATATGATTTGCTGGTTCACTTCCTCCAGTGATGTATAATTTTTATAGCAATAGACTTCAAAAATATTTATAAACTTGAATACACTAATAAATATTGATTCTTATTTTAGAATAAAATAAGTAATTAAGACATTATAAATTAATATTTAGGGGCCCCAAGGTTAAGAAAATTTCAAAAATATCTATTGATCATTTACTTTAAATTTATTTTAGAGCCGATGTTCCAAAATATTATATATAATAATTTTTTTTAAATAATTACTAATATATAAAGTGTATATAAAATAATTTGGGGGCCCTAAATTTTCGAAAAAAATCGGGGACCCTAGGCGACCGCCTACTTCGCCTCCCTTCAGAACCGGCTCTGATTTCATGTGTTATATTTATTTTGTTTTTAGTAGTTATAAAACTACATCTATATACACTACAAATATAATTGCAACATACTATTGTTCTAACAAGTAAACTATTACAACGTAATAAAATTGATTTCTGGAGACATATAAATCAACGCGTTATACTTTTAATAATCCAATAATCTCGTACTTTATACTAAGATTCTATGGCTCTAATTTGTAGTTTAATTTACAGCCAAAGAAGAGGGAAAATAATAATAGATGACATATCTTTGTCGTTTGGCGAAGTGTCTCCCTGCACAAAAATGAGTGGGGTTTAAGTTTGCATAATATATATATATATATATATATATATATATATATATATATATATATATATATATATATATATATATACATATATATATATATATATACATATATATATATATATATATGAGCAGTTGCAACTCATTGAAATAAACACTTCAACTAATTAAGGATGCTCATAATAAGATATGTGATTTAGTATTACAAAATCTTTGCATCATAATTTCTTTGGATAGTGATACTTTACAATTTTAATTTTCTTTAATTTTATAGTGATACAAATATGACATAAGTTTTCCCCAATAAGAATATTTCTGCTATTTTGTATAAAATAGCTCTCATCCTTGAAATTCAACTGTCATTTTTTACAAGTGCAACGTGCTTTTTATTAGTCCTTTGCTTAAATACCAAGTACAAAGACAAAAATAAATAAATAAATAATTAAAATTTCAAAGGAGGATAAATCACAACCATTCATGATGTATGGTTAAATTACGAAAAAATCTCTCATGTTTGAGTAATTACAACTACCCCGTAAACTATAAATCTTCTTACACGTTCATCCTCGCAGTGTCAAATTTAGTTGAATCTTCTAGATTATATAGAATATTCTCGATTTTTTACTCGTTTTATCCCATTCGAACTCCACATTTTGGAACAAGATGATCATAAGATGTATTTTTTTTGCTTGTATGTATCAGATTGTGGTGCATCAGAAATTGCATTTTTGCACAAAACGACTACAAACTAGAAAACATTCCATGGACTCTAGAAGATTATGCTGAATTAAACACCATAAGAATTGACGTGTAAGAAGATTCATAGTTGAGGGGATAGTTGTAAATATCCAAACATAAAGGATATTTTCATAATTTGATCATATATACCTTTGGGGTGGTTGTAATTAACCATTCAAATAAAATAGGGCAAATTATGGCCACTCCCTGAGTTATGGTCAAATTATGAAAACCCCCCTCCTGTTTGGATAATTAAAGTCACCCTCAACTATGTATTATCTTACGAAAATACCCCTTCCAGAGGTAAATTTAGGGATGTTAAATCGGTAAAACCAAACCAAAATTTCGGTACGCCAACATTACATACCGTTTACCGAACTGAATATACGATTCGGTTCGGTAAATAACCGAATTACATAAATTTCATGTAGAAAAATACTTAAAAGAAGGGGGGTAACTGTAATTACCCAAACAATTTTTTTCTAATTTGTCCATACCTCAGGGTGGTGGCTGCAATTTGCCCAATAAAATAAAATAAAAATCCAAAAAATTCTCCTCACCAAACCAATTGACAATACTCTCTTATAGAAAAACCCCCCACCTTTATATAAACACTTGACTACAACTCAAACATTTGTCCCAATTAAGACACAATCTTTTTCTTCTTCTTTTTCTTTTTTCTTTTTTTTTTTTCCCACAACTTAATTTATCCAGGATGTCTAAACAGTATGCCAAAAAACAGGCCCTGGAAAAAACCAACAAAAACAGCAGTATAATTATTTCCAGGCCTGAGAAAAACAGCAGTAACATATTTTCCAGGCACCTTAAGAAAATTTACCCCATTGGCCTACACAGAACTTGCTCACCTCTCTCACTATCTTCTTTATCTTTATCCTTGTCGCAAAACTCGACCGATTCTTCCCTTACCGATTCTTCTTCCGCACCGCTCGATCAGAAAATATCGTTGGCCCTTCGGTTGATCACGTCCCCTCCTATCAAACGAAGAGTGGACCCCACCGTTTCAAAAGGTTTGGATGTTCTTGGTGATGAAGAAGTTACTACAAGGAGGTGCAACTGGATTACGAAGAATAGCGGTGAGAAGAAAACAAATAATATTCGTATAAATATTCTTGAATAAATTCGTTTGATCTTTTTGTTCGAAAAACTTTACGTTTTGTATTGGTGTTGTTGGACTATTTGGCGGCCTAGGATATTTTAAATTAGCTTAGAAAAATCGAACTTTTCTAAATGAATATGTGAGAAACAAAATTTGTGAGATAATTTTGCATGAAGATTAATTCCCTGCTGAGCAGACTCGTGAGCTCGATGAGCTGATTCGAAAGATGCTCGAACTCGAGTTTTCCGAGCTCGACTCGTTCACATCGCTACTTGTAATGATATTTGCTAAGAGTAGAAAAGTCAAGGTCAACTACTTTGAAGGGATTACCAATCATTGCAGAATTTTTTTCTGAACTATATATATTTTAGATGCTTCTTTTTAGAATCTTTTTTTTTAGATTAGGTTAGTAATTTAAACTACTTAATAATGGTTATGATTCCAATTCCAATGATAGTTTTATCCAAAAATTCATATTTTATTTTAGACCTGGAAATTAATATTAAGGTTGTTACAACCACACTGATTAATATACCCGGGCTATATATATATATATATATATATATATATATATATATATATATATATATATATATATATATAATATGTGTATAATTAATTTATAATATAGTGTTTTCTTGAAAGTAATCGAAAAATGTTTAATAACAGATAAAGTTTACGTGCAATTTCACGACGAGTGCTGGGGAGTTCCGGTATATGATGACAAGTAAGTTTATCTTGTCTCATCTTATTAATGATCACTACAATCGAATTTATCGCCTAATAAATAAATAAATAAATCGCAAAATAAAAAAAAAAATACGTCGACAGTCAGCTGTTTGAGCTTCTTGCAATGTGTGGAATGCTTATGGATTTTAACTGGACTGAAATCCTTAAAAGGAGACAACTTCTCAGGTAGTCAGATTTTTCTTCATATTACTTCTTTAAATAAAATTAATTAATTAATTTATTTATTTACCGTAATTTTATAATTTGCAATGTGTATTAATCAACAAACAGAGAGGCTTTCGTTGGTTTCGATCCGAACAACGTGGAAAAAATGGGCGAAAAGGAAATAAACGACATCGCCTCGAACAAAGAACTAAGTCTAGCTGAAAACAGAGTTAGGTGCATTGTGGACAATGCTAAATGCATAACAAAGGCAAGTATTATTATTCTCTACTTCAATATTAATTATTGTAAAATTGTAATTTAACTAATAATCCGACTTTTTTAATTTTTAATTTAATTTTAATTAATATATTAGGTTGCAGAGGAATATGGATCTTTCAGTAGCTATTTATGGGACAACATGAGCTACAAACCAGTGATAAATAAGTTCAGGCATCCGAGAAATGTTCCGTTGAGAAGTCCGAAAGCGGAAGTCATGAGCAAGGATCTAGTGAGACGCGGGTTCCGTTTAGTGGGGCCCGTTATCGTGTACTCGTTCATGCAAGCGTCCGGGTTGACCATTGACCATCTTGTTGACTGTTTCAGGCATGGAGAGTGTGTCAATCTTGCAGAAAGGCCATGGAGACATGTTTGATTGATCATATATATATTTAATAAGAGGATTATTTATATTATATAAATTTATATAAGTTACATAATGTTATTCTATTTTATTTTTATTTATGTTTGGATGAATTGTTCTTCATTTTTTTTTCTTGAAGAGGGTTTTTGCACTGGCTTTTGATTTGTACAGACCAGTGAATTTTTATTTATTTATTTATATATATTGTTAAGGTTGTGGATTTCAACTTTCAATTGTCATTAATTATTTATTGTGTTTAGCACCTTGTATTTTTTTTATTTACTTTTTTAGGCGAAGTTCGCCAAATTCGTAGGAAGGATTAAACCTTCGTTACAAGAATAGCCAAGATGTTTCGAAATCGCATGCGCAGGACTATTACCCGGTCTTTGTACAAAAGCAAAAAACCAATGCTGAAAATCAGACGCTAAAATTAAGCAGTCTTCCACATAAGCTCCGAGTAATGATGTCGTAAAATCTTTGTATTTACACTAGTTGTCAAACTAGTAGCAAGTAGTATAATATTATAGAACCGGACCTGAAAAAAAGTATTTTTAGCGATTCGGTAGAATACAGAGTACTAAATGCAGTAATCTCTTAAGAAGAAAACGCAATCAAATAATATTGATAAAGGGGTATTGCGTAAACCTTCACTCTCATCCTATTTTCAATTATTTTTCGAGTAGTTAAAGTAATTTATACAAACTAAAATGCTGTTCATAAAACATATTTTACCGTTGTAGTGCGACTTTATTTCATTTGTAATTTTCAAAGAAAAAAACCACAATTCTCTCAAACCCTTTTCCAATTATATTTCGTGCATGAACATATATATTCCCTAACACGAAATGGATGAAGGCATTTCGTGCAAAGAAGCACGGAATAGTGTTTTTTTCCCGATACACGAAATCATAAATTTATGTTATTTATGCATTTCGTGTTGTATTGCACGAAATGAAACACTTCATTTCGTGCAATACAGCACAAAATGCCTTTTGTTTCAGAATTTTGTTTTATTCCGTGTAAATTTACACGAAATACAAGCTTGTATTTCGTGCAAAATTACACGAAATAAAACACATTTATGAAAAAAAAAGGGCATTTCGTGTTGTATTGCACGAAATGCAGTGTTTCATTTCGTTCAATACTACACAAAATGCATAAAAAATATCAAAATTCGATTAAAAAAAATACGTTCTTTATCTCAAAATAGAAGTAGGTTTTTCCGTATTCATAATTATTGTGTTCTAATTGATATTATCGGAAAATTTTGACGGTTTAGAAAGGAGGTTGAGAGAATTTGAAAAAAAATTAAAGGATTTTTTGATAAATGAACTATTTCGCACTGTAACTGGAAAAATTTGCACTATGAATAGTAAACCCCTTATACAAATTGTTCTACCCAAATTATTTTTAAATCAATTTTCTCGAGTTTGTGATACACTTTTAAATGGGCTTTATTTATAGGGCTTGGGCTTAGAATGTATGTTAGACTTGCGAACTAGAAGTTCTGGATAGCAAGTAACCCAAGATATCCCACTTTAATTGCTTTTTCTTTTTTCTTTCTTTTTTTTTTTTTTTTTTGTGAAATAACTTATCAATTAAAAAATAAAGGGGTGACTATTTGCAATACTTTTTTTTTTTTTTTTTTTTTTTCTTGTTTAGTCACCACAACTCACAAATATGTTGTTGCTTGTGATCTTGTGTTTCCTCAAGTGTAATAGTATAATTTCTTGTGAGTGATCTTACACTAAGCAAAAAATGGTAGTCCCAAATAGAAATTAGAATTGTCGTCCTGGAATTTGGTCAAATTACAAAGACTTGTATACAAGTTTTAGATTTATTCTTATTCATATGATAATGTGATATAACTTCTTGAGTACAAAAATTGTTAGATTCGGTTCGTCGGGATGATAATGTCAGCTTGGTTCTTGCTTACGTCCCCGTCTTTAGCTTCTACCAGAATCTTGGTCGGCCGTCGTGCCTGCAACTTCGAGAGGTATATTCTGACATTAAAGCTCCGACAATCAAGTCAGGAAGAAATTTTAACGGAAAAGCTCGGACGATCAAAGAAAATACTCTCTCTTGAAACTTGGATCAACGAACCATAACAAAACACAAACACACAATAACACCAGGCAACAACTAGACAACTTGGTCAAATACAAAATCATTAAAACATAAAAAAATCAAAATTCCATTACAAGAAAAGGAGCCCTACCTCAACAAGTTGCAATAAATTACAAATTTACAAAAGAAACATATATATATAATATATATATATATACACATCTGTATCCATCCATGCCATATCATCACTTAGTCATTTTATACACCTCCAAATATCTATTTCTATATTTATTTATTTATTTATGAATTATTTTTAGCAAGTTTTCATTGGTTGATGGGTAGGTTTTGTTTGCCAAACAATGAGTGGTGAGGATGGGGACTTTCACCAAACTTTATATCCTCATCACCTTTTATTACATAGTATAATGTATTCCCCTCTATCATGTTCAAAATTAAATAATTGAGTAATAACTTTACCATCAAAATCTGGATGCTTCACAACTACTGCACACTAATTATCAGTTGTTACTGTAGTGCTTGATCAAGAATTGTTATTCAGATTTCAGAAATCAGATAACAATTTTGCAAATTCTGCATTTTTTAAAAAAAAGGATGACAATATGGAAATTAAAAGTTGGTCCTCGGATTAAGTTCTTTATCTGGCAACTGTCTCATGATAGCATTCCTACTAAAGACTTTTTACTCAAACGTAAATGTGTGCCGTCTAATACTTGCCCCATGTGTAATTTACACCCCGAAACATGCACACATTTATTTCATAATTGTACTGCGCTGTATAGTATTCTAAAAATGATTCCCTCACCTCAATCCAACTTGGAGGAAAACTTCTGTAGCTTTTTTCACAGGCTCCGTCATGGTCCTTTGTTTCAAGCACAAATTGCTAATGTGTATTGGCTCATTTGGAAAGCCCGTAATAATTTTGGCTATGTTTGTTACGCTTCTCAAATTCTTTTCATTCTTTCTCCAAAATAAAATTATCTTTTTGAAATATTTTCAAAAACTTTCTCCAAAAAGAATTCAAATTTTTCTCTTTCTAACAAGACATGATTTGACTGCTACAGTGAAAATTGTCTTCACTAAATTACAAACTAAAATCACTTTATCCTTCAAATTCTTCTTTCAAAATAACTTTTTCCAACACATTTTAGACATGATTTGACTTGCTACAGTACAAATTGTCTCCTCTCAAAACACAAACAAACTTTATTTTATTTTCAAATTCTTCTCCCAAAACATCTTTCTCCAGAATAAAATGGAAATAGAAGCCCAAAAGCTTACCAAACATAGCCTTTGTGTTTCAACAAAAAGAAATTCAACTCTTACATATGTGGACTCTAGCCAAACAGATGATCTCCACGCCATCCCGCAATGTTTCGGTTACTATCCAAACCCCCCTTTCTTGGAAACCCCCTCCAAGGGAGTGGTTTAAACTTAATATTGACGGGGCATCCAAAAATAATCCCGGCACTGCCGGAATCGGGGGTATTATCAGAGATAGTAATGGCATATTTATTAATGTTTTTGCTAAGAATATAGGCATTGTTTCTAACAATAAAGCTGAATGTTGGGCGCTAGTGGAAGGCATTAACCTCGCCAGAAGACTGGATATTAAAAAACTCCTTGTCCAAACTGATTTCATGTTTTTAATCTCGACTCTTAGCAGGAAGGATCAGCTGCACAGGGATCTCCACTCACTTCTGCAGGAGCTGCGGAGGAGATTGACTGAATTTGACGTTGTCGAAGTGGAGTTCGGGTACAGGGAGACAAATGGTGCAGCAGACATTTTGGCAAAACTTGGAACTACTATGAACAACGACACTACGCTTACTTTTGAAATATGCCCAACCTTTTTGAACAATATTTTGTATAATGACTGTAATAGCATGTACCAACGGGCCTCTAAAACTACTCTCTGTACTAAAACTCTTGTTTTGAAATCTTAATATAATAGTTGTCCTTCTGTTCAAAAAAAAAAAAGGGTAAATTGCAGCAACCCCTCAGTTAAGGTTAAATTACGAAAAAATCCCTCATGTTTGGGTAGTTACAACTACCTCTCAACTATGAATTTTCTTACACGTCCACCCTTATTGGGTCAAATTCAACATAATCTTCTAGATTTCGTATAATGTTCTATAATTTGTACTCGTTTTTGTGCAAAATTACAGTTTCATATGCACCACAATCTAATATGTACAAGCCAAGAGACACAACTTATGATTATCTTGTTTCAAAATGTGGAGCTCGAATGAGGTAAAACGGATACAAACTGGAAAATATTCCACATAATCTAGAAGATTCCACTAAATTTCACACCGCAAGAATAAACGTGTAAGAAGATTCATAGTTGATGTATGGTTGAGTAGTTTTTTCATAATTTGACCTTATCTCAGGAGATGGCCGTAACTTGCCCAAAAAAAAATGATATTTAGAAGAAGAAAAAAAACGCATACTCTACCGTACACTCGACGCGCACAAAGTAACCACAATACAACAATCGACGGCTATATACATAGATCAACAAAGACAATTTACAATAAATATCTTAACTATGAGACATTGCATTTATAATGCTCAATAATGTAATGATAAGATTCAGGATCAAGACAACATGGGACACTCAAAACACCATTGCCAAATGATTTACGTACCAGTTTTCTTTAGGGACCTCCTAATAATTTTAATGCTTAGTCGTCTGTTTTTTTCTTGTAAAGTCAGCATCACTATTAATTTTCCGTGTCCTTATTGCATAAATATAAATACAAAAATAATCTATAGATACAAAGGCAGTACATAATTATGTATGTACAAAGATCGATTTTTTTTTTTATATATATATTTTCCAATATTTATTTTTTCTACAATGTTTTGCTCATAGAGACAAAAAAAGTGAAGTCTTAACAAAAAAAGAAGACTAAAAAAATTTACAAAGAAATTAAAAGTCAGTCAGCCGTTCCAACTTCTGCTGCCTTACAAAGAATATTTACAAATATATCAAACTGCATAAAGCAAATCTTACCTATTTTGACTCTCAGTCAAGAACCCTAGGTCTTATTTTCTCCATTACCTCAATCAAAACTGGCAAGAAGTCCCGAGCCTCTGCCTCTGCCACTGCCCAAGAGTAATCGACTTCCGTTTAGCAATCGCCGGAAAAAGTAGCTCCTCAAACTTCTCCAAAAACATCGCCCACTCCACCTCGTTCATATCCGCCAACTTCACGAAGCCCACACTTGTCGAGAGCTGCTCACTCGCACTCCTGTGTCCGGACGACGATGATCCAATAAGGTCCCGTTTGGCTCCATCGAATTTCTGATTCGAAATCTTCTTGCCCAAGCTAGTGCTCTTCAACGACATGGACAGCTTCGAAACGCGTTTTTCATTTGCTAGATTCAAAACACCGCCGCCGCCACCCCACCCAGCTTTCTCTTCTCCTTCACTCTCCTCCTCTTCCTCGTCACTACACTCGTCCAATTTCGAAAGCGGGATTCGGCCATTCACACTCCCGCTTCCGAATTGGATCGGCATTAAATCTTCGTAATCTATGTCGAATTGGAATTCGTCGAAATCAGATTCCGCCTTGGGAGACAACAATACTTCCTCGGCAATAATAAGCTTTCTTGCCTCTATACATATAGCCTCGAGTTCGCTTGGCTCCTCCTCTCCACTACGGAACTCCCTGCTCATCATTTCTCCGATTTCTGCAAGACACAGCCCATACGCAGCAGCTTCTTTAAGGAAGATTGTGCAGAGCAACAACACGCGCAGACAAGCCTCTCTAATCATAGGGAGCTCGCTTCGCAGCATAGCCGAGTCACGAACCGGGTCGAGATTCTTTATATACTCGAGTTCGTCTTCCGAGAAAGGGATTGAAGACTGTGGCCAATGAATCCATTCGAAATATGGATCCTCCAAACTCTCGGGCAAGCAGAGGCCGTGGTCAATTGGGATCAGTTCTACTTGACCAAATCTTCCTACATCGTCAAGCTTCCTAACTAAGAGGTTACCCGCATGTCTATCTGTGTTAAAGATCCTAATATCTAAAATCCCGATTCGGTGCACTGCAGAAACAGGGAAACTCGAGGTTCCATGGTCGCTCGCATCAAAATCGTGCGGAATGTACTGCTGCATGGATGCAATCTTGCTGACCAGCTTCTTGTTCTGTGGCTTGTTTGCCTTCACACCATCGTTGACATTGAAGATAGAGTGAGTGATCTTGACCAGCGCAGTAGGTGGCACGTTTGCAAAATGATCGTAATCAAGAAGATAGGCAGCGACTTCTCTGTATCCTGTTTCGCCGACCCTTACAGAGCATTTCAAGCCTGGTTGCCCGAGAGCTTTACCAACAAATCCCTTTGGATTGTTCGGTGCAAACGGTTCTTCATCGGTCGGCTTCACAATGGCAACACTCTCACCTCTGACGTTTCTGAAATAATACGCTCCCCCAAGCCCGCCATGAACAGGGATTGGATCGACTCCATTCTTTATTGCTTTCGAAATTTCCTTCACAAGCTGTTTCGCCTTGGCAAAGCGATTCGAGTGGCCCAATAGCTCGATAGGCCCGCTGTGGTCTTTCTGTTGGATGTCCCTGCCAGTGGGCGACAAACATGGAGTTGACGAACTTCTGTGCATCAGATTCCTTGTCAAAAGAAGAGGAAAATCATTTCGAATGACACTGAGATCGTTCTTGAGAATCATATCTCCAAACGTCAAAGAACTCTCCTCAATTGGGAAATTGAGGGCAATCTGCAGCCTCCTCTTCACAGTGTGTGCATTGTCACTCCTATCCAACTCCATACCCAAAACACAGCCCGTTTCGGTTTGTACAAAAACGCGTCTCCTGCAGCTCGCTTTCCCTTCGAGTCTGTTCGTTCCATGGTACTCGCCACTTCCAATCGGGCTCTTGAAAGCTGCTACAGCCATCTGTGTCTGAACAGGGCTATCCAAGTTACGAGACATGAAAGGAAGGAAATGACCAGAGGTGGTTCTTCTCACAGCCGGCAACCAAGATGGCGACCGGAGAGAGATTTACCCTCACTCTCAGTTCAACGCCAAACTTAGAAGCGGAATGTGAATGAACTGGAAATATATATGTATCGACAACGATCATCAATCGAAAAATCGAAGATCTGAATTTCTAAACTAGAAAAACTAATGAATCACAACACTGATATACTAGAAGATCCAAGTAGAGGGAGAAGAAGATGTATGCAATCAGTACATCAAGAGAGCCATTTGATGTGATGATTCCAATTAAGCCTCAAATCAGAATCTGAAAATGCAAAAAGAACCAAATCAGATAACCTAAATTTATCCATCAACTCAAAAGGCACCAACAAGAAATCATTTGGTAGGTTTCTTCACTACTTCTTCAGGGGAAAAAAAAACCCTAATTGATCGAATAAATTAAACGATGTACACCGAATTGCATCCCTAGCAAGCAAGCAAGAACAACTTCAATACAACTAATTAATTTCAGACAACAAAAAAATGTTTAAAATATATATAAAATCAGCTAGTACACACACAACACACATGAAATACACTGAATCTTTGAACTAGTAAATTAATCGAATCGACACCCTAATCCTCAGTCACACTCAATACGCTGTCGTTTCAACGTATTAATGGCGGAAAACTTAATCCTATCAACATAAAGTAAGAACTCGCCTTCTTCAGTACGGAAAAGAGAATCGAATTAATTCGATAAAAACCTAACATAAGTCGACGGCAGAAAAATCTACCGTGAAATCTGAAATGTGCAAATCAACTCACCGGAAGTTCAGATCTGAATACAGTCCTGCCTTTTCTTCCGCCGTTGAGATGAACGTTGGACGAATTCGAACAATCCGACGGCCGAAACAACGGCAAAACGAGAAGATTAACGGCTAGGATATGATCCGAGTGTTCTCTCTCTCTCTGTCTTCCTTTCTTGTTTCTCTCTCTAGAAATCCTATATGCGGATACACCTGCGTGTGTATATATATAGATAAAAATTATTTCTTTAGAGTTTTCGTTTTTCCATTTTTCTTTTTCTTTTTATTTTTTATTTTTTCCTTCGGCTGCCTCTTCTTAGAACGTTCTATTTAACCCTACAGTAACTGGGGTTTACGAGTTAACCGTGGTTAGTTCAAGCCTACCGGGGTTGGATTGGCTCGGTGTTGTGGAAAGGTCCAGAATGTTGAATGTTAGCCGTCGATTGAGAATTGAGAAGTGATCCTCGTCGTCGGATGGTTTTCGGTGACGTGGAGATAAGTGATTGGAAAATGGTATGTCATGGTCAGCGAATCCAGGGGCTCAATTTTTACCGTTTGACTACGCTTTATGTGGAATGACATAATTGCCCCTGCTTTGGTTTTCTTTTTTCTTGGTGTGTGTGGGGGAGTGGCCGAGTGGGGACTATTACTTACTAGTTTAATATTATATAATCAAAATAAAATACATTAAATTTATGTGATTTTGACTTTGTTTCTTTTGGGATTGTTGTTAGTCGGTCTTGTAGATATTAACATGTAAGTCTATAAAAATATATATATTATTATATTATAAAATAGGTGAAATTTAATGAATTTTTATATTATATATAAAAGTAAAACAAAAATATCATTAACGGGCAATTATATGCAACTTGATTTCTTCATAAATCATCGATCTTCTTCCTACAAACGCACAAGAACAAAGCATTTGCAAGCTAAATATAAACGTTTAAAAAGTATGCGGCGGAAAACACACACAAACACGGTTACAGACAATGCCAAACATTTATATTAATTTACGACAAATAATACAAAAAAATAGTTTCCAAAACTTTATGAATCATATTAATTATAGTGTCGCTGCGTGCTTTTAATAAACGTAATTAATTCAAATAAATTGAAGGCATTGTAGCTCAATGTAATAAGTGGAAGGTCAATAATTCTTGGGTGCTTTTGGAAACACATGATCCGGTCTACCTTAATCAATGTAAATTTTTGTGTGCTTTTTTTTTTTTTTCAGACAGAGCTCTAATTTAACTTGTAGGGACAAGTGGTAAATCAAATAGATTTACATGTTACTTTTTCGGTTCCTAAATATTTGTCATTTTTCACATGTACAAAAATATGAAGAAATTCAACAAATATATCTTAATTTTAAGAAAAATACATTAAAAAAAAAACTAAAATAAGTTTTATCATTTGATGATTTATAGAAGAAAGTTAATGATTATAGTTAAATTGATAGGGTTAAGATAGGAAACCATTTATTTAATGCGGTATTGGAAATATAAAACAAAAATATTTTTAAGAAGAGACACATATTATGGAATAGATGGAGTAACATTTATCGTCAATTGATCATAAATAATAAGATGTTTGAGCCGATTAACGAAAAAATAAAATAAGAGAAAATTTGTTCAGAATGAGGATAATTATAGTTTTCATTTCTTGAGTATGTATTGATTTCACATTTGGTCCCTCGTGTTTCGATAATTTAATATTTTTTTGTCATTTTCATCAGTTTATCGGTTAGTTTGTTAGTTAAGGCAGTCATGGCACATGCTCGGTTCCATAACGACAAATTGACAGATCATACTAAAATTGTTGAATTTTTAAAGCATTAAAGATCAAATATGTATCATTTTGAACATAAAAAATTATATGTAATATCAGTACAAACTCGATGGATGAAAAGTGTATTTTTCCCTAAAAAAATCTATCATGACAAATGTTCGGTCGACACATGAAGAAATCGATTGACCAAATACTATTTGACTTAAGTGCACAATTCATGTCAAGAACAAGACATTATCTTCCTAAACATGGGGGTCCATAAGGTTTACAAAACAAGCATGTCGCCTTCATTATTAGTCTAATCAAAATAATTGAAATCCTATTTCAATTTCTGTTCACCTAATTAACTATATATATTGATAGCGAAATGACATATATTTAACCAATACTGTGCTTATTGAATCATCGATACTAACAATAATTAAGTCGTGACACGAATTTGATTAAAATGTTTAATATTATGTTAATAAAAAAAGGATGTTAAATTATTAATTAGTGAAAATCAAAGTTCAATGACAGTAAACTTTAAAAACAATTTAACCCCAAACGGACAGACCCTATCCAAATTAATTGACTGATAAATTCAATTCTGCATGCACGTGATACCCGCTCGTGCCACCCCCCTCTCCAAACACATTAAATAAAAATATTAAATTTTTTATCTGACCTGTTGATATTATCCTGATTATGGGCCACGTCTCAGATCTGGACCCTTTTCTTTTGCTTTGACGTTGTTCTTAATTTAATTCTATCAAAAAAAAAAAAATTGTAATTTTTTATAGAGTTTATATTTATTTAATTTTTTTTTTGAGTAATTTAAATATTTAATCCTTGAGGTAATTTATGAAATGATTTAATTATTATGGTCGAAGAAATAAATATCTGAGTTTGTCATAATTAAAAAGGAGGAAATGAAGCTTTGTGAGTGGGTGTCCTTTTTAAAGACAATAATAAATGTAAACCCATGTTCAATGATTCTCTTATATGTTTGGCAATAATATCTTGATTTTCGTGATAACAATATTTAAAAAAAAAATGGTCTGCAACTAATTAAATTAGCCTAACAAATATCTTATTATTATTATTTTAAATAAATAAACTTACAAATCTTTATTGGCGCCTAACATTATTGTAAGTTGTAACCCTAAGCAGTGGCTGCCAAGTGTCAGATTATCATACAGTGTACGTACAAGATATTTTGATGCAAGAGCTAAATTATTATATTTTATTATTAAATACTTATGGGGTGCAATAATAATAATAATAATTTAATTATATTATTTATGGGAAAGTTGAAGCAGGTCAGGGCCTGGGTTTGGGCGGTTCAAAAATTGGGCATGCATGTGACTTTGTAGTATACAACGAACACTTGTTCACAAATTTGTGGTTGTCTCTATTTTTGAGGCCCAATAATTTAGGTCATGTCTAATTGTCTATAATATAATTATGGGTTAAATACAATTTATACCCCTAAAGTATACTCTATGTAAGACTTACCCTCTTAACGTATTATTTGTAACACTCACCTTCTTAAGTATAATTTAATTTGTATTTTAAATTTTAATACATTATAGTTTTCTCTTTTATTGAAATGAATAACTAAAAGATAATTAAATTATACAACTAAAATTATCTAGTGAAAAATGCAATATTTTAAATTTTAAAAATATTATCTTGCGTTGGGTACATGTTTAATAAATAACATCTAATTGTTGTTGGACCAATTAATCGAATATATTCATATCGATAAATTTTAAGAAATCAATACATAACAAATAGTAATCTTAAGAATTTAAATTTATTTTAATTCATTAATTTCTTAAATTACTTTTTTCATTCACTATTTAGAGTGTATACAATATATATTACTTATTAATTAATTTCCAATAAATTAATCTACAATATATATTACTTTTTAATTAATTTCCAATAAAATTAATTTCAGCTACTTTTCAATTTTATATGATCCGATAATTATTAGATTATCGAATTCCAATTTCAAAGTTTTGATATTTTTTTTCAAGGGCGAATGGCAAATAGGCCCATCACATGAAACTTAAATGCACATTGGTCCACAAAAAAAAAACAGTCTTTCAAATATACCCATCCCCATGTCTTTAGTCCAAAATATCCTCCATAATATAATTTTTATCAATTCCATCAATTATGCTCTAACTTCCTTAATATTACACATTGACCTCGAATTTAAACAAATATATTACATTAACCCCCAAAATAATAATTTTTTGAAAAAATATTTTTTTTTTCTGAATTTTTTTTCCGGCCAGATTCCGGCGTTGACTTTTTTTTTTTGAAATTTGTTTATTCTGAAATTTTTTTCCGGTCGGTCAACCACCGTTGACCGCCGGTCTCCGGCGTTGATTTTTTTTTTCTTTTTTCGAATTTTTTTTTCTTAGAAAAAAATATTTTAATTAATATTATTGTCTTGGCTACTAGATTACTGTCTCATACAGTAATATTACTGTTTGGGACAGTAATAATATGCATATTATTTTCCCGAACAGTAATATTATGAATATTACTGTATGAGATAGTTAAATTACTGTTGGAGACAGTAATTTAGCAGCAAAGACAGTAATATTAATTAAAATAATCTTTTTTAAGAAAAAAAATTCAAAAAAAGAGTCAATTAACAGTTAAATTACTGTCTCCGACAGTTAAATAACTGCTGGAGACATTAATTTAGCAGCCAAGACAGTAATATTAATTAAAAATATTTTTTTTAAGAAACAAAAGTCAATTAACAGTTAAATCACTGTCTCCGACAGTTAAATAACTGATGGAGACAGTAATTTAGCAACGAATACAGTAATATTAATTAAAATATTAAAAAAAATGTGAATTAACAGTTAAATTACTGTCTCCGACAGTTAAATAACTTTCGGAGACAGTAATTTAGCAGCCAAGACACTAATTTTAATTAAAATATTTTTGAAGAAAAAAAAAGAGTCAATTAACAGTTAAATTACTGTCTCCGACAGTTAAATAATTGCTAGAGACAGTACTTTAGCAGCCAAGATAGTAATATTAATTAAAATATTTTTTTAAGAAAAACACAAAAATTATATATATATATATATATATATATATATATATATATATATATAT